GAGTCCCCCTCCACTGCTCAGTCCCCCTCCACTGCTCAGTCCCCCTCCACTGCTCAGTACCCCCTCCACTGCTGAGTCCCCCTCTGCTGCTGAGTCCCCCTCCACTGCTCCATCTCCCTCCACTGCTGAGTCTCCCTCCACTGCTCAGTCCCCCTCCACTGCTCAGTCCCCCCTCCACTGCAGGTTCTGAGCAGTGCCTGGGCAGCCTTGGAGTCTGCTGGAAACCTCCAGAAGCCAAATTGTGCAAACCTGAGCAATGCCATGGGACTAAGGAAAGGGCCAGCAGGTGATGAACACACGCCATGGAGGGAGGGGATGCAGCTCAAGGACCAGGGGATTTCCAACCTGGGCACCTAGAGGAGACACCATCCTGCAAGGAAATTGACCTGAAATATTTGAAAAACTGAGGTCCAGGTATAGAACAAATCCATAACCCCAGACACACAGGGACGAGATAAACTGTTACAGCATTTTGAACAGAAAAGGGTCTCACTTTAATTGCTGCCGATTGTTATTAAATTAATAGATGACTTCTGATGAGAGGTGAGGAAACACGGGCTCTCTCTCCCCTTAGTGTGAAGACCAGAAGGTGGAGTGCCTGTACGAGGCACTGAAGAGAGCTGGAGACAGGCTCCTAGGCTCCTTCCCCACGGCCATGCCCCTGGCTCTCCACTCCTCCATCAGCTACCTCGGCTTCTTCATCAACGGCAGCCCCGCAGACGTCATCCGGGAATTCGCCATGACCTTCGCCACAGAAGCATCTCTCTTAGCAGGTGAGCAGCCCTGGCCAGTTGCAAACACAGGGCCAGGTTCGCAGTGCGTGAACTCTTCGTGGCGGGTTCAGCTCCCAGCACGCAGATGCAGTGGGTCGCTTCCAGGGGAGCAGAGCCCACAGTAATGGTGGGATGGCTGGGTGGGCTTTCTCCCAGGCTCAGTGGATGCACCTGTCCTCACCAAGGCAGTTCCGTGTCCACTTCTGGATTTTCAGCCAGGTGCCTGGACATGGTCTTAACCTGAGGCTGAAGAATTTAACTACAGCCTCCTTCGTGAGCCACTGCAGCCTTCAAAAATGCAGGCCGATAGAAAGCTTCCTATAAAAATGCGGGCCGATAGGAAGCTTCCTACAAAAATGCGGGCCGATAGGAAGCTTCTGGACCCACAGTGGTCTTCTCCTTAAGTAGAAATAGCCTTGTTCACATTAAGTGGTTTTTCAAATGCTTAGCTATATGCCAACAGCCTGGGAAACTGCCCTAGAGGGGTGTTCCAAGCATCAAGCCTGACTGGGTGACCGTGACAGGGTTGGAGGCCGGTGCACATGGGGGGTCAGGGCCTCCCACTCTCGGCCTCGAGTGGGAGACACACAAGCCCTATGTGACCTATTACTGTATTTTCAGAATGAGCTTAGTGCTCTCTCCTTGGCCTCTCCAGGGAAAGATTATTTAGACTCATGTTGAGAATCATCAAAATTCCCTTCTCTCCAAACACCAGCCCTGCTCTGGAGCCCAAGGCTGGGGTTTGGTGGAAAGGATTCTGGATTTGGCATCAGAAGGTGTGGATTTTTTCTGTGTCCCTGATGAGTGGCGTGACCTTAATCAAGTCAGGTCCACTCGCTCTGTCTCTTTTCTTTGTCTACAAAACGATGAGGGCTCTCACTCTTCAAGAACAATGTTTCCTGAGGCTGTAGCGCACCCGCCCCAGTTCCGCGGACGCAGAAGGTGCTCGGCGTTGCCATGATTTACCAGCTCCAAAATCTGACAAGGCCGCAGTGCCTTGGTGGGAGGGGGCCCTCCTTTCTCTCCCCAGGAACGTGTCTGTCTCTGTCCTCAGACACATGTGAAACACAGATTTTGGCCCATAAATCCAACCATGAATCCTGAGCTTCCATTTGGATGCCAGCTTGTGAGTCTGGAGACCGAATCTGCTGGATAATTAGAAAGTAACCCCTTTGTGGAATGAGTCCCCTTTGTCAAATGATGGCTCTTTCATACCCCAGGCTTCCCTAGTGAACCTCAATGGCAACATCTTAAAAACAGGAAGACTGAGGCTGTGAAGGGTAAAGGGCCTGCCCAAGGTCACTGTGGTTTGTGCAGTGGTGTCCCCTAAAAATGTATGTCCACCAAGAACCTCAGACCTCACACCTCACTTGGAAATAGGACCTTTGCAGATGTGGTTGGTTAGAAGGAGGGCACGTTGGATTAGGGTGGGTCCCCATAAGTGGAGAGGCCGCACAGAGACACAGAGAAGCCATATCCCAACTGAGGCAAAGACGGGAGTGATGTGGCCACAAGCCAAGGGTTGCCTGAGGCCACGAGAAACTGGAAGACGCAAGGAACGACCCTTCCCGGGAGCTTTCAGGGAGAGCACACCTTGATTTTGAACCTCTGGTCTCCAGAAACAGGAGAGAATAAATGTCTGTTGTTGGAAACCGATCCAGCGCCCTAACCAGTCTGGTGAAGCCAGGATGTGAACCCAGCTCTGTCCTGCTCCACACCACCTGGGTTCATGCTGAGAGGCCCCACTTCCTGTGGGAGCCAGCATTGACCTCACATCCACGCCCTGACCCAGAGCAGGCTCTGTCCTGCCCTTCTCTGGCCCATGCCCTCAGCCTGATGCCGAGCGGGTAGAGGGGCCTCTCCCAGTGACAAGTGACCAGTGACTGCTCTGAAGTAAACAAGCTCCCTCTAGGGCAAGTGTACTAGGCACCCTGCCCGCACTGGCCCTCCGCAGTGAAACATCCCCATAGGCAAGGGTCTGTGGAGAGGAGGACACACAAGGGCCCATTCACAAGTCGGTGTGACTCACTCTGACGTCAGCCACTAGCAGTGGGTCTTTCCCAGGCCACACTTACTCACATGGCAAGGCCGTCCTCCCTGACTGCTAAAAAATAGTCAGAAAAGGAATTTCCCCACCACCTACACACTCCCGCCGCTCTGGGCTGCGCAGCCTCAGCACCTGGGCCGGCCAGAGACCGTGGGAGCTTCCCGTTTGCCTCTAAAGGCTCACCTCTCACGTGGGAGACAGCAGTGGGCCCTAACTTCAGGGGTCTGAGGAAAGGCTTGCATTACCCTCGACATTTTTTAGGGGGTGAGCAGATTCTGTTTGCAAGTGCCTTGCCATGGAGCGGGGGCAGGTGACCTCTGCACCGACACAGCGTGTCTAGCAGGAAATTTTAAGAGGCCGGTTTCCCACGGCAAGCAGCCACTGCCATCCTCCAGCAAATGCTGCTGAAACAGAAATTGGGCCAGGCCCAGAGGCTCGATCAAGGTCACTTTGCAAAAGGGGGGCACAGTGTGCCCTAAAACTAGGTCTGTCCACCCCAAAGTCTGTGCTGTTCCCATCAAGACACCGACCGCCTCCCTAGGATATAAAATACTTTGTGGCCCAACTGAAATCAGATCCCAGATGCGTCGGTGACGCCAGCTACTCTGCTGACTGGCCTGAGAGCCCCCTTGCAAGACTAGGGAGGGCCAGGGCCACTGGGGCAGAGGACGCCCAAAAAGACCAGAGACTCAGCCACTCCCAGGACCTCCTGCTTCACGAAAACAAGGTGAACCCTCAGACATTGTGTGTTTTATAGTTGTGTTGCCTAAAGAGTTTTCTTGAAATTCTACAATTAAACAACAAGCCAGTGAACTGGAGCTCGGGCCTATAAGTCCAGGCCACTGGGTAATGCGCACACCCTGGGGAACGGAGCAGCTGTTCACTCTGTGTGTCTGAATTGTGCATTTGTGCAGCTGGCCTGCAAACCGATAGGCCCCAAGACCCTGAGCCCACATCTCCATGCCCTCCTCTTCCCTGCTTGCTGGAAAAATCTGCAGATATCCAGCCATCTCCTTTATGGTGTGAGTCCTGAGCGGGCCGAGTCCTTGCCTTGTTGAGGGAGCAGGAAGAAGGAAGGAAGGAGGCGTTTAGGTAACGGTGCCCTGGCACCCTCTGTGTCTCCCTGATTTCACAGACTGTACCGTGAAGCCATGCACCAAGCAGCTACATCTGACCTTGGCCCACAAGTTCTACCCCCACCACCAGAGGACGCTGGAGCAGCTGGCCAGAGCCATCCCCCTGGGCCACGGCTGCCAGTGGACGGCAGCCCTCTACTCCCGAGACATGCGCTTCGTGCACTACCAGGTGAGAGAGCCGGGCGGGGGCTCCTAAGAAACAGATGAATGCACGGCCCCCACCTGACGGCACATACCCCTGGAGCCCTCCAAGGGAGATATTTTAGTAGCAAGGGAAATTTCTATTGCTTCTCTAAAACCATTCTCTCTCTTGTGCAATTTGCAACTAGCATTCTTTTATATGTGAGTCAGAGATGCACAGAAATTTTAACACCAAATAAAAGCATTTCCAGGATTAGAAAAGGAGGCCAGGTGCGGTGGCTCATGCCTGTAATCCCAGCACTTTGGGAGGCCAAGGCAGGTGGATCACTTGAGGTCAGGTGTTCAAGATCAGCCTGGGCAACATGGTGAAACCCCGTCTGTACTAAAAATACAAAAAATTACCCAAGCATGGTGGCAGACACCTGTAATTCCAGCTACTCAGGGTATCACCTGAACCTGGGAGGTGGAGGTTGCAGTGAACCAAGATTGCACCACTGCACTCCAGCCTGGGCAACAGGGAGACTGGCAAGAAAAAAAGGAAGGAAGGAAGGAAGGACGGAAGGAAAGAAGGAAGGAAGGAGGGAGGGAGAGAAGGAAGGAAGGAAGGAGAGAGAAAGAGAAAGAAAGAAAGAGAGGGGAAGGGAAGAAAGAAACAGAAAGAGACTGTTGTAAATACATGTTTTGCTTATTCTTATTTTTTTTTAATTTAGGGGTTATGCTAATCTCTGTATCATTCTAATTTTAGTTGTATATGCTGCCAAAGTGAGCACAATTCACTTTAAATAATGATTTGAATGAAACCTCATTCTGAGACTTCCTCCCCATGAAGTGTGCGGTGCTTCTTTCAGATCCAGAGAGCAAGTGTGAATGAATCCACCATGTTCTGTGTCATACAAGAAGGTGTCAATAACCTCACACCAAGGAAGGCGGATGTGAAGGTTGGCTTGTGCCTTCAGATCTTTTGTAGACGAAAAAGTACCTAGGTGGATGGATGATGGATAGATCCCAAAACATTTGCCTTTTTTTCTTTTCTTTTTTTTTTTTTCTTTGAGACAGTCTGGGTCTGTTCCCAGGCTGGAGTGCAGTGGCGCGATCTCAGCTCACTGCATCCTCCGCCTTGTGGGTTCAAGTGATACTTCTGCCTCAGCTTCCCAAGTAGCTGAGACTACAGGCATGCACCACCACACCCGGCTAATGTTTGTATTTTTAGTAGAGAAAGGGTTTCCCTATGTTGGCCAGGCTGGTCTTGAACTCCTGACCTTGTGATCCACCAGCCTCAGGCTCCCGAAGTGCTGGGATTACAGGCATGAGCCACCACGCCCAGCCCCAGAATGTATTTCTAAATCTATCCAAAGAATTCTATGCTGCATTTCGTTATATTCTATGGTATGTACCGTTAGACAAAGCTTTGGACAGTGTCTTGGAGACACAGCACACATTGGAGGAGGCAGAGAGCAGGAGGTAGCAGGTGACAAACCTCCCACTGCTGCCGTTTTCCAAAGTAAATCTTTGCTCGAGACATGAAGCCCCTTGCCTTTTTCTAGACCCTGAGAGCCCTCTTCCAGTACCAACCCCAGAATGCGGACGAGCTGACGCTAAGTCCTGGCGACTACATCTTTGTGGACCCCACACAGCAGGACGAAGCCAGCGAGGGCTGGGTGATTGGGATCTCACAGCGGACAGGCTGCCGGGGCTTCCTGCCGGAAAACTACACGGATCGAGCCAGCGAGTCTGACACCTGGGTTAAGCACAGGTGAGTGCTGCCTCCAGCTGCAGCCCCATCATCTCTCTGTTACTGCATCAGAGTGCCCACCTGCAAACACTGTGCTTCTAAAGCATTCCATCATTAGTAAAATGCATTCTCTATGCTGGCAAAATTATTCCTGCAGGTGCATAGTAAACGTCTTGGTTCATGTGTGGTTTTCTGACGATAACATTCAAAAAAGAATGAATTACTCTGCCTTAGAGTAGTTTGAGATTGTAATCCCAAAATTATTGCAAAATGCTATTTCCTTATCACAAACATAATAAATTACACGCAGTGGTCCTGACCTTGGGTTTATTTATTCTTCTGCCCCGAGTATAAACTTTAAAGTCATAGGGTGTACTGTTAGTTTTCTATGGCCGTATAATGAATTACCACAAAATTAACAGCTAAAACAAAGTGCACTTATTATCTTATTGTATTCATGGGTTGAGAGTCAGAGTCAGCTTAACTGGGTCCTCAGCCTGGGGTCTCAAGGCTGTAATCGAGGTGCCTGCCAGGGCTGGGGTCCCAGCTGAGGCTTCTTGCCCTGGTACACACTTGGTGGAAGTGATTTCCTTGAATCTGTAGGACTCCTGGTGATTCACTTCTTCATCAGCTGGTGAATCCCTTAATTTTAGCCTTTTAGCATCATCTGGTGAGGCTAAGGATTTTCAGAATCATCAGGCACTGGTTCTTTTTCGTTCAATGTTCTTCCCTCAGTTTATCTCTTTCCTCTCCTGCTGCACTATAAGCAACATGAAGAAACCAGGTGATATGCTTAACACTTTGGAAATATCCTTAGCTATGTAACCAGCATTATCGCTTACAAGTCCTGCTCTCCATGGACAACTTCATTAAATTCTCTGGCACACAAGGGAAGGATCCTCCTTGCTCCGATTTCCTGGAACACATTTCGCATCCCTTTCTGAGTCCTCCCTGAAGGATTCACCTTCAGCATCCACATTTCCACTGGCAGTCTGTTCATGGTGATTTGGGCCTTCTCTACCATGTTCTCAAAAGTCTCTCAGCCTCTACTCAACTTTGCCAAGTCCCAGAGTTGTTTCCACATTTTAAGTTCAGAAGGTTTCCAACTTACAATGGTTTGACTTAGGATTTCATAATGGTACGAAAGTTATATTCTTTGAATAGAAACTGTGTTTCAAGTGCCCGTATTCAGTGCTTCACTTTCAGTACAATATTTTACGAGTTATATGAGGTACTCAACACTTTATTACAAAATAGGCTTTGTGTTAGGTGATTTTGCCCTACTATAGGCTACTGTGTCTGAGCATGTTTAGGGTAAGCGAGGCTAAGCTATGACATTCAGTAGGTTAGGTGCATTAAATGCATCTTCAAGGTATGATGGGTTTGTTGGAATGTAACCCCATCTGCAGGTGAAGAGCACCCATGTTTGTTACAACAGCTCCCCATTCCTGATACCAAATTTAGTAAAAGTGTAACCAGAGAAGCAGAAGCGATCACTTGCATACAATATATAATACATATAAATATTCATGCAGTTGTCCCTTGCTATCTGCATGGCATTGGTTCCAGGACACCCACAGATACCCAAATCCTCAGGTGCTCAAGTCACCAATATAAAATGCTGTCGTATTTACATGCAATGTATGCACATCATCCTGTATCTTTTAAATCATCTCGATTACTTATGTAATATAATGTTAATGCTATACAAATAGTTGTTCTACAGTATTGTTTTTTATTTGTATTTTTAAAATTGTTGTATTGCTATTTTTTTTTTTTTGAGAATGGAGTTTTGCTCTTTTGCCCAGGCTGGAATGCATGGCAGATCTTGGCTCACTGCAAACTCCACCTCCCAGGTTCAAGAGATTCTCCTGCCTCAGCCTCCCGAGTAGCTAAGTTTACAGGCATATACCACCACACTCGGCTAATTTTGTATTTTTAGTGGAGACAAAGTTTCTCCATGTTGATCAGGTTGGTCTCGAACTCCCAACTTCAGGTGGTCTGCCGGCCTCGACCTCTGAAAGTTCTAGTATTACAGGCATGAGCCACCTCGCCTTGCTGCTGTTTTTTGTCGATTAATTTTTTAAAAAATATTTTTGGCCTGCAGTTGGTCAACTCCACGTAATACTTTATATTGTACACACATGTATCACATACGCACATACATGTATAGAAAGGCATATATGTATATACACATCTATATGGATTGGTACAACAAATTGCCTTATGGAATTACTGGGGCTAGCTGAGCAAGGGCAGGCAGCAGGAAGGGAGGATCCTAATCAGGCTGAAAGCCCACGGGCAAGCGGAAGCTTGTTGTCCACATGTGGGCAGCTGGAAGGAACACACGGGGGATGGGAAAGCAATCGCAGACACAGCTGCTATGAGTCTCTGAGCTTGGGGAAAGCCTAAACTTTTTAAAAAAATGCCTTTCCACTGTGTAAGTCAGGTCTGCTCAGACTACTCTTGCTTTTGATTAATTTGAATTCAACTGCTCAGGGGATCTAATCACATTTGCAAAATCTCCTTCTAGCAGCACCTAGACTAGCATTTGATGGAATAGCTGGGAAGGCTGTGTGTGATGCTTAGGATGACTACTGCCTCTCTTCCATGCTCCAGCTGTCATGAGAATGCATAGCCCACCCTGATCAGTCATGTGCTAAAAAAGAAGTCTAGGGACTGTCGTTCAGTCTAGCCAAGTTGCCACGCTGTAAAGCCTTTGCATCACGAGAAGGTAGCTCTCGTGAGCTTTTTCACTCTCTTCTCCCAGGTTCCAGTTGGGAGAGTGGAGAGAGCAGACAGAGGTCAGAATACACTTGGTGAATAAAGAGAAAAGCTGCTCAACCTCACGGGTGTGCATGCTGGGGTGGAGCTCTTGCAGGTGTCAAGACTGATGGTTGGAACAACTGAATGATGAGAGTAGGAGGAGCAGGGCAGAAAGGCACAGAAAACCCTATGTTGTGGTTCGGGGCTTCCTGGCCCCTTCAGAGCTGTGTGGCTGGGGAAGAGAGCCTGGAAAACCACCATCATGGCCATCCCTCTATCTTCAGGCAGGAGGTCTTAAAACCATTTTACCGTTTCACTCATTTGTTTACTTCTCTCCCAAAATTTCCCACAGCTTCTCTAGGGTTCCCCCCACCACCCTGACAAATAAATAAGTCATTAAGTTGGACACAGATGAATCAGCGTCTATTCAATCTATAGATTTTCAGATCTGTGCTGGACACTTGCTGTGGACATCTATTTCTAGCATCTATATATCCAGGGAATTCTTTCCTGTACCCTTCCTACTGAGGTTCATACACAAAGCAAAACTATGAAAATTGTGACATTTTATTTGAGTTGTCATTGGAAACTACTTAAAAATTGTCAGAGACTATAAGGATAACTAATAAGACTAGCATTTTGAGTAAATTTAGAAAGAATATACTTTGAAGAGCTAAAATAAATGATTGCTTATTGGTTATTTTTAACCAACTCCCCCCTGCAAAAAAAAAGAAAAGAAAAGAAAAGATGGTTTAATAGTACCTAATAGAAGCTCTTGGTGAAATCATTAGAATTTGCAAGGAATAGTAGTAAAAATAATGGAAGTATTGTCTGAAATATTTATAAAAGGAGATTTGGTGACTATGGCTGATTTCTTTAGGTATTATATTTCTTTCTGCTAATTATTCATACACCGAGATTTGTATAATGAGCCAGGGACAGCATTTGTGTCCCTGCGCTTCCCCACTAAACATAGTGGCAACTTGACACTCAAGGAGAACAGCCAAAGCCCCAAGGCTGTCCAGACGTGGCATTCCGTATCATCTTCGCTTTGTCCAGACGTGGCGTTCCGTGTCACCTTCGCTTTGTCCAGACGTGGCATTCCGTGTCACCTTCGCTTTGTCCAGACGTGGCGTTCCGTGTCACCTTCGCTTTGTCCAGACGTGGCGTTCCGTATCACCTTCGCTTTGTCCAGACGTGGCATTCCATATTATCTTCGCTTGAGGCCATTTAACTTCTTGCCTTAATGAATAAGAACTAAGGACCACAAAATGCAAATCTGGGATGAAAAATGCAGCAGTAGTCACACTTCCTTATTGATGTGTTAATTCATAATCCACTTAAATCTATTTTAAGGCAGCTTAAGAGATGCCCAATAGCTTTGCACACTAACATCACCCCCCTGCCCCATGCCTGGCTCTGTTCCATGTATGTCCTTTATTAACTGATTTACTTCTCCAATATCCCTGGGGTAGGCACTGTTATTGCTCCATTTTACAGATGATGAAACTGATACATAAAGAGATCAAATCACTCGCTTGTGTTCACACAGCAAGTGAGCAGGGGAGGCAGGATTCCAGCTTTATACCTAATCCCACACTTGGGCTTCCAACTATGACCTCAACTGCCCCTATGGAAGAGATCATTACATTTTAAAAATAAGTCCATAGATTAAATTATGACACATCCATACAATAAAACATTTGCAGCTTTAAAATAATCAAGAGGGAGAATTTTGTGTATTGATTTGAAAAAATATGGAATATTTATTGATAAATGACAAAAATAAGTTGCAATACAATGTATGTGGTATGATATACTTGTGGGGGAAGGGGAAAGACATGTATATGTCTGTAAATACATGTGCACAATATGTATTTCCATACATGCATGTGTCATAGGTTCCCTGGAAGGGAGAATGTCTAGAAACTTCTAACCATGGTTACCTGTGAGTTCTAGGACTGGCAATCAGGAGAATGGAGAGACTTTTCAAACACGACCATTTCATAATATTTACATATATGAAGCATATAAATGCACTTCTTACTCAAAACATAAATTAATCCATTTTAAATTTTAAGAAGAGAATATAAGAAAGTTGGGTCAAAAGGGGAATAAAGGTGGAGAAGCTAGACAAAGCCAGGGCTGGAGTTTGTCTTCACCGTGGCATGTGCTGGGAGCTCCTAGCTCTGAGCTTTCCCACATCGGGTGAGAAAACAGAGACACATTCAATCAACAGTCGTGGCCATCCCAGA